CATGAAGTAAAAAGGCGTCACTTACACAGGTAAGCAAAGAGAGAAAGAAGGGGCGTGAGTCGCTAAACCGCTCATAAAGGGGGGGGAAACGAGCAAACATACTTATATAACTTGATAAAAGAGCAGAATATAAGTGAAGAGGAGAGGCACAAGGATGTTAAACTGGAGGATAAGAAGAGAAGGTGTGATGAAAGAGAAAAGCAGCAGAGAACATTTTAAAAAAAAGGAGCCAGAGTGAATTTGGGTTAAGTGTTACATCAGTGAACAGAGTAGTTTACGTGCAAAACGAGACGCCGACCACATTGAAGGATGCATGCTGCGGTGCTGAATAGACACTAAATGCACACACACACACACACACACACACACACACACACACTCCTACACTTCCCCTGATCTCTCTCATGTACAGCACAGTAGCTGTCTTATGGTGACATCGCAAGCCAACAGTTGTCGTACATAAATCCTGAGTATTAGTGAAGGCCTGAACACTCAAAGTGGAGCCTGTAGGTTAGCAGCAACTTAAAAGAAGGAAGACTAAAATTAAAGAGAGTCCAGGAATGAAGATAAAAGGGAAAGAAAGAAAGAGAGAGGAAGTAACAAAGTACTGTCAACTTAAGAAGAGGGTGAAAGTGGAAAGTAGGGGACAAAGAAAGGGAAAGAAATGGATAGGGACAAAAATAATGAGAAAATTAAAGAAATGGGAGGCTAAGAGGGGGTAAAGAGGAGACAGAGATGGTGGGGAAGGGGATGGTTGGCAATGAAAATAGAGATTGACAAAAAGCAGAAATCTCAGAGAAGACAAAGGAAAGACATGAGATGAAACAGAGCATAAAGAAAAGAGAGATGAGTGGAAGTCGGATAGAGAGATTGTTGAGCACGTAAGAAAGAAGGGAAGAGAGAGCACAGGAGAGAAGCTGGATGAAATTAAGCCAACACAGAGTGGACAGTGAGCCAAATCAGAAGATGGGAAGAAAAGCAGAGGAAGTTTGAAATGGAGACAAGAGCTGAGTGAGAAGATGAAGTGAAGCAGAGGATTGGACAGCAAGCTTTTACTCATCTACCAGGAATCCCTGCTAGCTTTCAGCGCTCCTAATCCTGGGAAGAGTCATCTCTTCTGAAACTGAGGCATCAAGCTGTGCTTGTATAGCTGGAACCCAGATAATGCCAGTTCATACTGGGCCTCCAGTTAAAAGATTTTTCTAGTCCAGGCTCCCCACCGAGTCGGGAGATTACTCAAGTTCAACCTTGAAATTGGAACCTGTGAATTAAGGTTCAGCGGCACGAGGAGAACATGTTAAATATTGTTTTTTCAAAGCGCGTATCATTTTCACACTGGGGGGTTTTTCATTGAGGCCTCAGTGATTCAGACTATTTACTGAAGCAAAATTTTGTTGCTATGCAGAAGTCGTGAAGCTTTTGCCAAAGGTTTGGAGGAGCATTTACTACCTGCCAAAAAGCTCCTGCGAGTAGCTGTTGGGGGTTCGCTAATTCCAGGGGTGTAACTCTTTCAGATAAATTACTCTGGGGTGCGTAATACACCAGTGTGCTATAGATGAGTATGCACTGTGCAAGTCCAGGGCAGGTCTAGTATTTCCGCAGTGTATTTTATTGTGAGATACAGAGCGTGGATGTGTAATGTGTTCCACGAAAGCATCTTAGATTTAGAGAGGCAGTGCAGAATGTGGAGCTCTTGGATGATATTTACGGCCGTACGGGGATAAACAAGAACAGGCGTGTCGGTTTTTTGAAGGGTAATTTATATCAGAGAACTCTGTATTCTGTCAGCATCCACAGCATTTGTGTCCATATTCATTAATCGTGGTTGCTGTCTCTGGTATTGGCTCCTACTTAAAGATCTTGACAATCATTCTGAAGGGTTACAGTTGGATCATTTAGATTTTACATTGTCTTATTTTTTATTATTCACTGTGTGTATGCGTTTTCATTGACATGCCAAGCAAAAATCCAGACATTCAATGCAATTGTCACCACATTATTAGTACCCCTGTCTGCCAACTCATTTCACCTACTATCAGGCGCACTAAACGATACCAAAGTCATAACCCACTCAGCTCTATCACTCGCTTAAATTATTCATAGATTCTCATTGTGTTGTGTAATTATACACTTCCATCCCATGCATTCTGAGGATAGGTGGTGAGATTTAAGAAAAGCAGCACAAAAAAGGTGAGACTGTGATGCGTTGCAGAACAATCGCGCCGCATCAGAAGAAGTTTGAGAAGTCGTCCTTGTTTGAGACGGTTTCTCTGCTTCTCTAAAAGTCGAGGCTTGATTTTACATTTGTGAGGTAATGCCATGACTAACATTTTAAAGTTGTTTGGAAGGGAGGGCTGATGTTGCTTTTGATGAGTTGCGCTTTAAGAGGAAAGTGTTTACTTCAAGAAGATGCACGGGTGTATAGAAATTTCACGGTGCGCGACTGAAGATTACACAGAACGTCAAGACATTTCAACATGAGGCCATTAACCAAGCTGCGCACCGCGGGTCTGATGTTGTCACCTTTATTATAACATCAATTTATATGATACAGTGCCTTTTTTGTTATGGCGTTAATGGGATTTTCCATTTAGAGGGTTGGAAGTCTGTCCTCACCTCTGAGTGGAAATCCTGAACAGCATGTCTCAGATTTGTCAGTGCATTATCCCCTGCTTTTGACTTTCTCCTTCATGCCTAATGCAAGCTCTTCACATGTTCACACTCACTATTGTGACTTATTATAGGCTACAGTCCCTGTAGACTGAAAGATTATTTGGGTGTGCAGTTAAAATATGAAGCCATTCAAGCGTTATTACTGCTTGAAGGGATACTTTGACATGTAACATTTTATGTAAAGCTCTTTTTCTTCCAGTGGTAAAAAACTTTCAGGCTTTCTCAACAGTTTCTTGATTCAGGCAAATAGGATGCCCCCTTAAGGATGCCCCCTTTTGCACCTCTGGACCACTCCAACGTGTTGCCGTTTAAGTTCGTCTTCCATGTATGCCCCCGGATATTGTTTGCTCTTCACACAATACTTATGTTTTAAATAGGCCCAATTCTCAGTGAGGATGGGAGCTCGGGTTCTGCCAAAGAGCTGTTTTTAGACGAGGAGTTTCCAAAGCTCAAAAGCCGTGCATGAGGTTGGGAGTATGACCAAGAGGATGATAGTCATGTTTTTGACATTCCCTGTGATTTGCATTACAAATTTGTCCTTCCTGGGGTCAAACTGTTGATGCATAGTTCTGCTAAATTGTAGATCTGGCCCTCTGCAACATTACTCACTTCTTGACTCCAGAATGAACTGCACAAGTGCAGATCAGAGCTTCCACGGAGTGATCTAAAGACTACCTATAACGGGACACAGCCAAGCGCAATTTGACTTTAATGGGTGGAACTTTATGATTTCATACTGTTTTCATTCAGCACCTTTTTGTTCATATATTTGTCATTGTTAAAGTTTCAGTTGTTTCCTTTTCCCAACAAACTGTCTTTCTTAAAAGAGACAATTTATTGACTGAAAAATGGATCCACTTCTCAAGGAAGCGTGACAAAAATGCGTGTGCTGGGCTTACATCTTTTGTATTAACACTAGCAAAGAATAATATACCAAAAGGGTGAAACGAGGCGTAAAGGCATAAAAATGACATCCATTTTCAACTAAAGTGAATTAGTCGGATTCCTACTCATTCCTACATTACATTGCTCTGTCTGGAGATTTGAAAAAGTCCTCTGCCTTTCCTTTATTTGAAAAAAAAATGTGCTCTCTTTGTTTGTTAGAAACCACAGTCTGCACAAACTCAGACTCCTGCAGAGAAAGTGTCACGATCCTGGGTTTTTGACCCAGCGTTTTGAGTTTTAGTTTATGGTTTATGTTTAAGCCCTTCAGGTTCTCTAAGTTGATTTTTTATCATGCCTAGGTTGTTATAGTTCTTTGTTATTAGATTCCCCTTGTGTCTTCCACCCCTGTTAAGTCTCCCTTGCCCTTCATGTGTTTCATGTCTGCGTCTTATGTTTCCTGTTTTATTTTGAAGAGGTCTTGTGTTCCTGTGTTCATCGAGTTTAGTTTTACTCTTCCACTGTGACGTCGTTATGTTCATGTGTCAGCTGCCCCCATGTGTTCCCACTTCTCTCATTAGCCTCCTGTGTGTATTTAGTCTGTACCTTCTCATTCAGTCTTTGTCGGATTGTCTGCGTTGTTCCCATGCCAAGTCCTGCGTTCAGGTTTTCATATAGCCTCATCGCCATCGCCATGTTTAGAGTTCTGTTTGTTTTTCTGTTTGCCAGGGTTTTTCATAGTTCGTGTTTCCTTTCTAGTTTACCCAGTTTAGGTTATTGCTTAGTTTGCATTGTTTTTGCCCTTTTATTTTGTACTGTTCTGTTTGTCTTAATAAACGGCTCATCATCAGTTAAGTTTGAGTTTTAGATGTCTGCCCCTGGGTCCACTCTTCACACTCCACGTGACAGAAAGGCTGCTGTCACCATTTTTAACAGGCCACAGCGCATCTGTTTTCATTGACAGAGGGCTGCAAGGGATAAGATGAAAATGCCACTGTACACCAATCACTTCTCCTTTATGTATACACTATAGATTAGATAAGTGACACATATGCATCTACACATATTTGCAAAATAATTTTTTTGTGCTGTTTCCTTTTTCTTGTCTCTGGAGTGGTGTTTAACATAAATTGATCATAAGAAGACTTTCCTCCATTTTTTCCTCCTTTATACTCTGCCTTATGTGGCTCTCATGGATGCAGGACCTTCAGCCCTCCCTGTGTCCTTCCGTGCAACCATTCATTCATTTATTTCCTGTCAAAGTTGCATCGATTTGCAGCTTTTTGTTGGCCATTCTGGATTTAACTGCTCACATATTTTTTTCTATTTATGTTGACTGATATTTAGGACATTTTTGATGAATTTAACATGTTTTTTTGTTTGTTTTCTTTTTAATGATTCCCAAACTTCTTTGGAGCCAATTTAACTGTAAAATTGTTTTTCAGTTCCAGCTCCGAGGAAGCTGCGTTTTAAAGTGCTGAGCTCAAGCAAACTCCTGGTTTCATGGAAGGAGCCCAAAGGAGACTTTGACAGCTATCTGTTTTTCTACAAAAGTACCCCAGGTAGGATTTTTTATTTTATTTTTTTTTTACTGCACACACTCATGCACAAAAGCACATGCACGTGCACCTCTATGCCAAAAAGAAGCGGAGCTTAACTTTGAAATTTTGGAGGAAGGATCCCATTATGACTTGGATTTTCTGTCTGTCAGGAAGGATTATGTAATTTACTTCTTATCAAAGCTCCTTTGAAGGGATTACACTCTTGAGAGATATAGAGGACTCAGAGTTTGTCTTGTACCTCGGCCAAGTTTGAGACAAGGGAGAGTTTCTGCTGCGTATGTGCAGCCTGTCAGCACATTTTGAAAATGGGGCTGATAGGTACACAGGACATGATGGAGAGGTTTAGCCCAGGACAGCCAAATGTCAGCACAGGAGTCATTTTTCAGTGTTAAACTGAAACTCACTGAAAGCAGTCACAGCCATAATGGACACGTGGAATTTTCACTTTTATTTGATGCTTGTCATGAGGTGCCTGTCACAGACAGCGGCTCTAATTTTGTCTCTTTTTGAGTATGCACAGTGTAATAGAAGTCTAATAGAAATCCCCCGAATTACCGCTGATGTGCACCTACGTTTACAGCCATAAATCCTCCTTCACATCACTTCCCTCTTTATTGATATTGTGCTGAATACAGCAGGCAATTCTTCTGCAGCTGATGTAAAAGTGAATAAGAAGGACTGAATAAGCACTCTATAGCATTAAACCTGTTTCTTGCAAACAATACTTTTTGAAAAATGCCTCGTCTGAAATTTTTTTTGCCGCTTCCAACAATAGAACAAAAACTCAAATTTATGGCCACTTTTATTGAAGGGAGGAGTGCAATAGTAGCTCAGTGGCATTGAACAAATTCAGTAGGAAATTTAAAAAAAATGTATATGATGGATAAAGCCTTTGTCAGTTGAAAAATAGCCATGAAAGCCACAGCAGCTGCCATGTTCCTGATGTCCACGCTCTTTGTTCTCTGAATCAAATGAGCTGAACTCAGTTTGTGTGAAGAATAAAACCAGATGATTTACTTTTACCTACAAAATTATTATTTTTTCCATAATGCATATGTTCTCCTGTAATTTAAACCATTTTTATGGCACTACAAATTGTTTAAAATGTTCTACTTTTACCTTTACCCTGTGCTTCTTTGTCAGTCAGCTGGTATAGTTGAATAGCCTGCCTTTTTTCTATTTGTACATACACATACTCGTGTGATAGTTATTAGACCCAGATGTCCATATTTAATCTTTTAAATCTCAGCGGACATGAAGCCAGACCCAGATGAAAAAAAGCTGAGTTTTTGTAATATTCATGCATCGGTACATAATGTGATTACTGGAAGGTTTGCTTGTTTGCTTTTTGAGCACCGAATAATACAAGTAGTGGTGGAAATCACTGGTATTCACTTACGATACAGATCTCATAATGGTAAAAAAAGTGTAATCATCTTCACATGTGTACACATTAATATTTTAATCACATTCTTATTTGAGTAAACAAGTTTAAATTAGCCCTTTGAAGTGGTACAAAAAATACAGGTAGCCTACCTAGCTGCAAAAGGTGCTTCTATAAATTCTTAAACAATTTCAGAGTAATGTCCCTCAATGTAAAACAACAGCATATATTCCTATCCAGCTGATGTCTTTTTTCAGGAAACACCTTGCATATTTCAGCAAGACAATGCTAGACCACCAACTACATCTATTACAACAGCATGGCTTCATGGTAGAAGAGTCAGGGTGCTGAACTGGCCTACCTGCAGTCAAGACATTTAAATAAAAACATTTGGTGCATCATGAAACCAAAAAAACAACAACAACAACAAGGAAGACCCAGGACTGTTGAGCAGCTGGAATCTTATATCAGACAAGAATGGGGCATTTTTACTCCCCCAAAAGTCTAGCAGCTGCGCTCTTCACTTCCCAAGTTTTCACTGATTTTTCTTAAAGGAAGACAGGATACGATACAGTTGTAAACATGGCCCTGTACCAACTTTTCTAGTGTTAGGATTTGGCCATGGGGTGTATTTCTGCCACCAAATTCAAAATGAGCTAATTATGCTTTTTAAAATTTTACAAACTCCTTTTCTGAGTTTAGACATTTGATATTGTCATAATAAGCTGCAGGACTCAGCTCAGGACAGAAAGAATTAACTAAAAGAGGCAGCTTGCAGTTTCTGTAGATGAGCAGGTAGTCCTGGAGTGTAGTCATAGTACAGTCCCGATCAAAAGTTTAAGGCCACTTGAAAAATGGCAAAAAGAAATCATATTTTACATGGTTGGATCTTAACAAGGTTCCAAGTAGAGCTTCAACATGCAAAAAGAAACAAACGTTTGGGTCTTTTATACAGACCCAAACTTTTAAAAGCTGATGACCCCATTGGTCAAACAGTGGATTGTGAGCTCCCGTTTTGAAACCTCGGTATGAGCATTTTCACATCATGAAACAACCACCTTACTGTTCTGAAACCAGATGTGATGAGCAAAAGCCCAAGCCGTTGGTGAAAGCACATGTTCTCTGACCATGTGGTTACTAGGGGTGCAACGATACACAAAATTCACGGTTCTGTTCGATACTTTGGTGTCACGGTTCAATATTTTTTCGATACAAAAAAATGTTCATGCCTTTTTAATTTGTCATTTATTTAAATTATAAATATATATTTT